TGAGGGCTCTGTGTCGGAGGCAGAAAGGGGGCCATGGGCTGTCTGACAGTTATCAGCTGCCTTCGGAGTCAGACATCAGTGAGGCAGAAGAACAGCTGGAGCCTGTTCCTAGTGTGCGCATATGCAGAGTTGCCAGACGAAGGGAGCAGCTAAAGAACAGGGGTCAACTTGGGAGTAAGGTGGACTGTGAGTGGCCCCTCCCGTAGGGAATAAAAGAGGAGCGAAAGGGGAATGGAGTTTGCAGTAGACAATTAGTTCATTCCTGCATTCGTGCCAAGTATTGTGGCGTCTGAAAGATATCAGACTGGCCCCTCTCCAAGCCTGATCAAGGCCGGTAATTGGGAACTCTCTTGAAAGACTGTGGGAGAGGAAAGACTTTGCTGGAGAGGAATTCACTGCCAATTAAATAAAAGGGGTTTCTCGGGATGAGGACTCGGCTTCGTGCTGCTGGGGAAGCCTCGGTCAGAACACAAAGGGCTGAGGGACCTCACAGCCAGGGGAACCTGTCACAAACATACACACAACACACCAGGTGCTACAATCTGTCTTTCCTTTTGTTTGCAGCTCAAGATCTGGATCTACCCAGAGGGAACAAGGAACATGAACGGAGATCTTCTGCCCTTCAAGAAGGGAGCTTTTCATCTCGCAGTCCAGACCCAGGTGAGGGACGGTGCTTGGCAGGAGTGACTTGCCTCCCATGGATTGAAATGGGATTATTTATACCTATGATTATTTATAGCCTGCCTTTTTAATTTTTTTATAAATAACTCAAGTTGACAAACATTACATAGTGCAGGTAGTCCTCAACTTACAAACAGTTTGTTTAGTGACTGTTCAAACTTACAACTGAAAAAAGGGACAGGGCCATTTTTCATAGCTGTGACCTTTGCGGCCTCCCCAGGGTCACGTGATCAAAATTTGGACACTTGGCAACTGACTCATACTCATACATTGCTGTGTCCCAAGGTCATGGGATCAGCTTTTGAGGCTTTCCAATAATGGATGATGAGGGGACTGGAGGCTCAAACATACGATGAACGGTTGCAAGAACTGGACATGGCTAGTCTAGGGAAGAGAAGGACAGGGAAGACAGGAGAGCATCTTCCAATATTTGAGGGGCTGCCACAGAGAGGAGGAGGTCAAGTTATTTTCCAAAGCACCCCAAGGCCAGACAAGGAAGAATGGATGGAAACTGAACAAGAACGGAAATAAGGAGAAATTTTCTGACAGTGAGAACAATCAAGCCATTTAACAAAAGTTGCCTTCAGAGGTTGTGGGCGCTTCATCCCTGGAAGCTTTCAAGAGGAGACTGGACTGCCATCTGTCAGAAATGATGTAGGGTTTCCCACTTGGGTGGGGGGTTGGATTAGATGACCTCCAAGGTCCCTTCCAACTCTGTTAGTCTAATCAAAGGCTGGTCCTGGGTACTTTGGCTCCAGAAACTGTCCCACCTCTGGCCAAGCACCTTAGAGGAGTTAGACTTCAACTCCCATAAGTCTCACCTGTTGGGGATTATGGAGCAGGTCTTGGAAGGCTGAGGAAGGCTGCTGCTTGCTATCGTAGGGACCCCCAGGAACAGCCCGAGACAAGAAGCCCAAATCATGAATAGCAACACTACTTTTATGGTAACGTCAAAGGTCTCAGAATTAAATTAATATACATTAAACCATTTCCTCCCTGAATATAACTTTAGGGCACTGCAAAAAAATACGTTGAATGAAGAGTTAGTTCAACTGCATCTCAACAACTTTATGATCAGCTCCTTCCTTTTCTTTTTAATGTTGAACTCAACATCATGTTATGCAATGGTGACCCCTTGCCTGTTCTTGTGCAACTTTCTCTGAACACCTGACTCCAGTCAAGTTCTCTTTTGGTTGACTTCCTTCCACAGCTCCCCAAGTTCCTCTTCTGTGCAAAATTTCTCCTTTTTAATAAAGCACCATCATAAGACAAATCCTGATAGAAGGAAGTTTTCATTGTTTTCTTTGCTATTATGTCATGTAAAAAAAAAAGAAGAAGTATAAATCACCCTGGGAGTCAAAAACGTAACAAAACAGGGATCATTGTAGATTTAAGAACTTCCAGATTTTTGACCCAAAGGTGCTTTCTTCAAGAGGCAACTGGACTTTCTGGTTTTTCCTTTGAAGATGTTTCCCTTCTCATCCAAGGAGCTTCTTCAGCTCTGATTGAAGGGTGGGGAACGGAAGAACCTGACCATCCAGCCAGAGCTGAAGAAGCTTTTTGGATGAAAAGCGAAATGCCTTCAAAGAAAAACCAGGAAGTCCATGGTTGGGACAACCATGACCTGAATGACTAAGAATCTCCATAGACATTCCAGATTTTTGCTAACTTTATTATTATTATTATCTTCCCTTTGAAGGTTCCAATAATTCCTGTGGTCTATTCCTCCTTTTCTTCGTTTTACAACCCAGAAAAGAAGATGTTTACATCAGGTAGGATAATGCACAGCTTGCAGTGTTGTTCTGCTTCCCTTAACTGTCCTTGGAGATCCAAATTCTCTGGCATGGCTAAAAGGAATCCAGGTTGCTGGCTTGGTGAGCCAATTCTCTGCCTGCAGATGTGCCTGGGTTCAGAGCAGCATCCCTTCCTCCCCGCTTGCTTGATAGAGCTTTTCAAGAAACAAATCGGATTTCTGGACCAACAGAAAAAATGCTTGAGAGACCGGGAGAGGGGCTGTTTCCCACGGTTCTGGTTTCGCCGCCGTAGTTTCGGCCCGGTCTACCCAATGGGAAAAGGAAACATGCCAGCAATTTGGGGAGTGGTGTCAAGCTGGCCATGCCCACCCAGTTGACCACACCCACCCAGTCAGCTACGCCACTCAGTCAGCCATGCACACCCATCCCCCCTGAGGTAAACCACAGACTTGATGCAGCCCTCAATGAAATTGAGTTTGACACCCCTGCATTAAAGGAGGGACAACATGAAAAGTGAATGACAACAATTAAAACAATGTTTTAATTATTTTAACTAATTAAATTGAATTGTTGAATTGTCCTGCAGCAAGTTGGCTATGGTGAGTTATTCCATAGCTAGTTGGCCATTGCAAGTTGTCGCATTCCTTTGTGAGAACCCAGAGGGACAGTGGGGTAAATTAATCGGGGGAAACATCCGGTCAGGAGAATGGGTTTGCGAGTTGGGCCATGTATTGGGTGAGTGGAGGAGTTTCCTTGTGGTTCCCACTTCCCAAATGCTTGGGAGAGTTGGCTTGGCCAACCAACAGAGCTTCCTGCTCTAAATATGTCGGGTGGGGGCAGTAAGGGTCCATAGAGAGGAATTTGTCACTGTCTTTTCTGTCTCCAGGCAAAATCAAGGTGGAAATCTTCCCGCCCATCTCAACGAAGGGCCTGACAAATGAGGATGTTGATGATCTCTCCAAGCAATGCTACACCACCATGAGGGAAACCTTCTTCACGTTATCGGGAAAGAGCAGAGAAGCCAACGGAGAGGCCTCCATCCTTGGGCAGTAGGGTCTCTTGCCAAAATGACTGGAGGGCTCACCTGTGGGACAGTCCTTCAATTGCCCCCAAGAGTGGTGATGGCCCCCCTTGCTTGACGAAAACTTTGTGTAAGTTGTTCCAAAGCATTTGAGTGAGGGGGAGGAGGAAATTCAACCGGTGGATGTGCTCAAAGGTTGAGGAATCTCGTCTGGCCTTTCCCTCCTCACCTCCTTCTCCACAAACTGCTGTTACCAAAGATTCCTGCCCTTCTTGGTGTCCACAACCAGCAGTTTAAACAACCCCAAGTGCCTTTTCTCTCTCCTGGTGACCTCAGGGACTGGGTCCATGGCTTCCTCTTTGCCCCCCAGGGTGATGGTGTGAAGGTGCTTCTTCTCTTCATTGGGCACTGGGGTAATTTGGGTCGACAGGCCCAGACCTTGATCCACTTGGCATTTTTTCCGAAGGAAGTTGGGGGGCATCAGGCCCCATTATTTGACGCAGTTTTGAGTTGAGAGGGGGAACCAGTAATGACCCTTGTCCAGAAGAGGAGATGCTGGGTGGTTGCTGTTCTGATAGGCTGCATCTATTACTGTTGGAGATAAGGTACGCTAGTAAACTCCCACAGGTAAACTGGGGAGAATGTGGAGGGACCACAGTAAAGTTTGCTGCTATGGCAACCAAGCAAATTCCATCCTCCAGGACTCTTATTGATCCTTCTCAGTCTCACTAACTTTTAAGATGTGAGGACCTCAACTCCAAGAATTATCCAGCCCGCTAAGGAACGCTGGCTGAAGAATTCTGGGAATTGAAGTCCAGACATCATAAAGTCCTTCCAACGTTAAATGTTGCCTAAGAAAAAGGAAGCTTTCTTATTTATTTGGGACAAAGTTCTCCCCGTTCTTTTCTTTCAAGATAACTAGAGCTCTGTTGCAAGAAGAAATTTATCTCAAGGCTTTTAGTCACCAAAAGTTGCCTCACACGGTTTGTGTGTCGGAGTGCAAAGCAGACATATGAACTTGAAAATTCTGAGATCTCATGATGGCAAAGAGAAGAGCTGATGGGGGGGAATCCTTTTGTTAGAGAGGATTTCAAAACAAGACAAACGTGTGAAGAAATTTGATTAAACTTCCCTGCCGTAGTGTTTGGATTTGCCTGTCACCTCAGCAAAGCATGCCCATTTTATTTTGATTTTTTGTGATAAACGGAGGGCACAATGCTGCTAGCAGCTCTTTCACTAATTCTGTCAACCTTCAGCAGAGTTGTGAGTCCAACTTTTGAGTTGTGTTGGGGCAGAAATTCTCAGAAGTAAACTCTTAAAAAGAGAATAGACGTTGCATTCACTCGGAACTGGGAGGGAGAACTTGTCACTTGTCCGACATTCCCTGCATGTTTGGCTGCTGCCCTGCTAAACTGTGGTTGCTCCCCACAAGCCTTGATCCAGCCATTCTCACCCGAACCAGCCAATGAAGCCACTGCCTGTTGGTTGACAATCAGCCTTACACTTCCTTCAGCCTGCAAGTTGAGGAAAGGTTTAGTCTGTAGAAAGGCAGCTTCCACCATCTTGCAAAGTTTGAGTGAGGCCCTCCAGTCTCAGGGAGAGACCCGGAGGGGTTTTTTTTTTTGTTTGTTTGTTTTTTTGCTCAAGGGTGTCCATTTCTGAACCGGTTGGTACCCTGAACCCAAGTTGGGTGGGCTTAGGTCAGTGTCGGCGAACCTTTTCGACATTGCGTGCCGAAATAAGGGAGTCTGTGCGCTCGCATGTATGTGCCAGAAACCAGAAGAGTAGCCAAGAAGATGATCTTCCGGTTTCCAGCATGCACAAGGGCATCGCCCAGCTGGTCTTCATGCATGCATGCACAACAGAAACCAGAAGGCCAGGTGGTTGGTGCTGGTGCATGTGACAGAAAACGGAAGATCGTCTTCCTGGCATGGGCATGAGCACTGGGTGGCTGCTCTTCCAGTTTCCAGCATTCCCACGAACGTGAAGACCAACTGGCTGGCATGCTGGAACCTGGAAGAGCAACGGGCGACAGCTCCCATGCCCGGAGAGATGGCTGTGTGTGCCACTTCCAGCACGTGTGCCTTTAGTTCCCCATCAAAGGCTTAGGTGATCTTTAAGGTTCTTGGCAGCCCCACCATGCAAAAGCAAGTTGCATTCCCTTGCTTTCATCCAATCTGCTGTGGCCCTGTCCCCATGAATCATTCTTCTACAATCCCCACAAAAACGGTTGAGACTGGGCACATCTTGCCCAACTTCAAGATGGGTGAACTTCAACTCCCAGAATTCCCCAGTCAGGGGAATTCTAGGAGTTGAAGTCCACCCATCTTGACGTCATCGGAGTTGAAAAAGATCACTCCCAGACTCTAGAGAATTCCTTGGGCTTGGTGATCAGCCATCCTTCCATGGACAGGATAAAAACCAAATCTCTAGGATTGCTCTCCTCCATTCTGGGATAGTCTTCTTGCTGCCCCCCCCCTCCAATTCTGCAACAAAGCCTGTCTCCCACTTAGCAGGGGATGAAGCTGCTCCCGAAGCAGCTCAGCATCTGGAAGACATCATCAAGCACAACTCCAGCATTCAGATGGTCTGTTGGATCCACTATCCTTTTAAGCCAGTTCCAGCTTAATTTACAGGGCTTGGGAATATGGCTGTCCTTGTCCTGGGGATGGATGGAGGGGGGACAAGCACATCTGGAAGGGAGGCCCTCAACCTTAGGCCCAAATCGTTCATCCCCAGCCTGACTTCAGGGGGCGGAGACCAGGAAAGAGTATGTGGCTTCTGGGAGTTGTAGTTCCGACAGCTGAAGAATGGTTTTTCTCACCCTTTCGAAAGCGTACCAAAAACATGTGCAAAAGTGCCTTATATTGAAAACCATTGGATGCTTTTTGGTATTGTCAAATGTACTATTTTTATAAAGAATTTTATTTAAAAAGAAGCAATGCTGGCGTGGTTGATTCCTTCCAAAATTTTTGCTTTGGAGAATTGGAGGGAAGGGAGGCCTTAGCCATGTCTGAGTTAATTTACCTTGTCTTATGTTATGCATTTAATAGGGACGCAGTGGTTCAGTGGCTAAGACCGCTGAGCTTCTTGATCAGAAAGGTCGGCGGTTCAAATCCGTAGCACCACGTAACAGAGGGAGCTCCCCTGACTTGTCCCAGCTTCTGCCAACCTAGCAGTTCGAAAGCACGTAAAAATGCAAGTAGAAAAGTAGGGACCACCTTTGGTGTGCAGGTAACAGTATTCCGTGCGCCTTCGGCATTGAGTCCTGCCAGCCACGTGACCATGGAGACGTCTTTGGACAGTGCTGGCTCTTCGGCTTTGAAACAGAGATGAGCACCTCCCCCTAGAGTCGAGAACGACTGGCACATATGTGCAAGGGGAACCTTTACCTTTACCTTTTATGTTGTGCATTTAGTGCTAT